TTCTAAAACATGTTTTGAAGAACTGAAAATTAAGCGTGAGAGCCTGTGTGTGGCCTGTTAGTTAAAGCCATGCCCAGAATTGCAAAGCACCTCAAGCCCTCGCCAGCTTGCAGCAGTTTCATAGGCAGGGATATCTCTTACATTAAAAAAAAAAAAAAAAAAAAGACAAACCAGGATATTGCTATTAAAGCCGGACAAAAGTAAGATTTGACCATTTAGGCTGCTTTCCGCTCTGCACTTAGCTAACCCGGGAGGGTTTTACTGCCCAGTCACCCTTTTATCTTATCGCTGGTTTCACGTTTCTCGCTGAGCCGCCGCTTGGCTGATGCCAAGTCAGACGCGTGTCAAGGAGCACTCGGAACACTTCCCGCTTTGATCGGCTACRCTTTGTTGGGAAGGATCAGGTAGATCTTAATCTCCCCGGGGAGGCCAGCAGCCAATTTGCACCTATGTAATCATTAAGCCTAAATGCTGCCTATTTTCAGGACTGCCACTCAGGTGATGCCTACACCTGTGAAGACGGGTGACAGCTCATGYCGTGGTCACGTTCACAGCAATACCCCAATCCAGGGCTTACGGAGAATGCAATTAATTTTGGAAGAAAACAAACAAACAAAACAAAACCCCCAAATTCCTCACTCCCCTAGATCTTTACCTAACTCCATACTCATTTCAACACTACGTTCCTACTTCAGGGCCTGTGCCGCTGCATTACGGCATCAATCATTGTATGCTCTGAGCTCCGTTGCTCGCGTTGAGCAAATTCCCGTTTCCAGGGAAGCCTGGGCAGATCCCGGGCGCTGGGGCCAGGTGCCGGTGTTTCCAAAACTCGCTCCTTGGCGGTTTGGCTGCGAGAGGCGCGCGGTGCCGGTGCCCGGAGGAGCTGCGAGGCAGGAGGCAGCGCCGGGAGGCCGCAAACGCGGCCGCTCCTCGCTCATTAACAACGCCGCACTAAGAGGAATAGCCTCTTTTTTTTTTTTTTTTTTTTTTTTAAATTAAGATTTAATACGTCCGGATGAAAGCATTCCCCAGAAGCGAGGCACTGGAAACGCTCCAGAGTCAACCCAGGATAGGGAAAATCCTACGGCAGAGGAGGGAGGGAGGGAAGGAGGGGATCGCGCGGCGAGGCGCGGGGCACGCGCGGCCTCTCCTCCCTCCCTCCCTGCCCGCCCGCCGCGCGGGGCAGCGGGGCCGCTTCCTCGTCCCGGTGCCGCTCCCGGTGCCGCTCCCGGTGCCGCTCCCGGTGCCGGCTCCGCTACCTGCGGCCGCAACTTTTCCCTCCCGCGCGTTCAAACGCGCTGCCGTAAAGCGCCCGTCTCCCCTGGCAACAAGGTTCCGGCCCCGCACTAGGTGTAGGAAGGTGATGTAAAAGTAAAACCACCCAGTGTCGTA